TTACAATGGTTGTTAATCTCTAAGGTTTACTTGCATTATTTCTAATGAAAACCTATTGAATCTTATCCAAAAACTGAAGCCTTTTATGCGGAAGTGATTTTAGTTTCCCCGTTTACAAAAACGCGTTGATTAATATGAGCATTTCATATTGATATTTATGATAATACTATAAGGTTCCGTAAATAATTTACCAAAAACAGAATATCCATGACATTTGCTTTTTTCACGGTGTTTATATTTAGGAACAAATTATTATATATCACAACGTAATATGAGAGCTTCTTAATTTTGCGATACGAATAAAGCCATCGGACTGTTGAGTACAAATACAATACTGATTGATTTTCAATGATTCTGCTACTAATATCAATCTTATGCTTGAAATTATCTTTCAGAATTACTGTCAGTAAATTTAAAAACATAAGTAGTCAACATTGAGATTGTGAAACAACAAAAAAGTTCAATCAAATCTTATAACTGTTCATTCGATGTAAGACTACCTATTTAAATTTAAAGAAAATTCTTTGTACAAATAACGCAACCATATTTAATTAGAAAAACTTGGACGGCTCAGTCAGAGACATCAGTTCAGACGATGTAATTGTGATATTCTAAAATACATTTATCTTGTTTTAAAAGTTGATGGCCTAATTCCACAAAAACAACAACTTCGCTTAACATACAGGTTAGAAATATGAGTGAGAATTGGGTTCAGCTTAGCGTTATCACCTTTACTTTTGTTAACGATATTCGAAGTGTTTAGCTTTATTTTCAATATAACCGGTTTACTGATTTCAAGCCTGTCGTATTAGAACTCAGTAAACTGCGATCCAATCGGACAATAGCAGCAGTATTATTATCCGTAACATAACTTCCACTAATTTTATAGTGGCAGTAGTTAAAGTATTTTCTTCTTCAGTCCTGTCACTTTTAACAAAACCAATATGCCGAATAATATTTATATGTGCGTACAATGAGAATGGAGAAATTTATTCGTTTATTTAAAGAAATTAAAGAACTAAAATAGAGCACAATCGAACCGGTGAAAAATAAGTACACTTAACATCTATAAAGTATTTTTCTGATTTGATAAACGTATAACTGCATGCCAGGGAACCGATAAGAAAAACTGACTACTTGTATCCTATTTGTTCGATGATTATAATGATTAATACGTCACTATAGAGCAGCCAACTTGACGTGGTGGTCGGGCTTGTCTATCATGATGACCCATCCGAGCTATATTGACTTGAACATATGTTCCTGAAGGCTCTACCATGCCAGGCAGGTCGATTGGAGAACGACGAAACTACAACCAGCTACACAAGGTCTGAGGGCGAAGTCGTAATGCTGACTGTAGAGAAGTGTGAGAGCAGTAAGGTTTTTCCCTAGGACAACCAGCATCTGCAGCGATGCTGCCTTCTCACAAGGAAGGAAGGGTTAGAAAAGGTCGACCCTAGAAATGTCACACCTCACCCTACATCTCGGATTTCCGTCTCCGTCGGTAAGGGTGCCCACTAAGGGCTTTCAAGAGCGGAGCTAATACTCACAAATCCTTTCATAAAACGGTCGTGCGTGACCGGCCTCAAGCAGTTGTCCGCTGGGCTCTGCGGTCACGCTCCGACGTCATCAAGACCGACGCTAATCTAACTTCCTTTTCAGGTTCCTCAAGAAACACTCTTTCAATGGTGTGGGTAGTTTGGAAGTGACATCCGCCCTCATGCCCAAAAAGGCACACGAGACCAAATTGGTCACAATCAAATCCTTTCTACATCTCCTAATAACTCTCTTATTTCCTCAATCAACTCTTCCTTCGATCGTTAACCCCTTCACCTCACTGAAGCAAATGGTTTGAGCTCACGAAATATGATTCCTGATCTAATGGAACTCCGTACTAAATTACATATAAGAGCTTTTAATGTCCGAACTCTACGCCAGATAGGGCAGCAGGCTTCATTAGCTAGAACTCTGGAATCTGGAGCGATCAATGTATGTTGCGTCTCCGAAACACGCATACAAGATCCGAGTAAAATCATCAATTTGATTTCACCTTGTGCAGACAGAGACACCTCCCGTGGCCTCGCTGGGCTAGGCATAATATTAGGTCCTAAGGCAGAACTAGCTCTCTTAGACTGGATCCTAATAGACAGTCGCTTATGCGTTGTCCGACTAAACAGGATGGTACGGACTCGGAAGGATAGGGACACTCGCCGTTGCCTCTTCGTCGTATCTGCCTACGCTTCCACTGACTGAAGTTCAGACAAAATAAAAGACAAGTTTTATAGAAACCTCTTTAAACTTCTCTAAAATGTTAAGCGCTTTGATATAGTAATAATGGCTGGTGACCTCAACGCTCAAGTGGGTAGACTAGGTGAAAAGGAAAGACATCTGGGTGGATCTTATGGTGTCGCGGCTAATAGAACAGATAATGGCGACCATCTGCTGCAGTTATGCTCAGATAACACTAACTTTAAACATAAGGTAAGACACCCCAAAGCCGACTCAACGATGGACCCAACTAGATCACATAGCTATAAGCCATCGGTGGAGAGGCTCTAGTGAAGACTGCCGGCCATTCTGGAGTACTTGTCTAGACTCAGACCATGCTCTAGTAGGAGCGCGTATTTGTTCGCGTCTTACTGGACGCAAGAAGAATATCGCAAGAAAACCTGTTAGGGCTCTACTTAATGATAATAAAGCTAAGAATATATTTCTAGAACAACTAGAAAAACAGTTAAGCAGCCATGTAGTAAGTGACGCCAACCCTGAAGCAGCTTGAAATGATATCAAAAAGGCTGTGGAAACAGCTGTGATATCTCCTAGTAATGTTTCTAAATTTTTAGCCTCGATTATACTTAGACGACCAACCTGAGCTCGTGAAGGGAAGACTAGAGAAAACCAGGCTGGTTTCAGACCTGGACGTTGTTGTATAGACCACATCTTCACACTACGAAAAGTCCTGGAACAGAGACACACATACAGGCGTCCTACAATAGTTGTGTTCCTGGACATTAAGGCAGCATTTGACTCTGTGGATCGTGAGGTTCTGTGGCAGTGACTGTCATTGGAAGGTGTACCAGAGAAGTACACTAACCTTACACAATCTCTCCACTCAAACACCACTGGTCGAATGAGAACTTATGGCAAACTGTCATCGAAACTCTTTACTTCGAGTGGTGTCTGTCAGGGATGTCCACTCTCCCCATTCTTGTACAATTTTGTCATAGACATGCTGCTAGATATAAAATTATCCTCGTCAGATTTTTCAGGGGTGGAGGATCACTTATTGACATAGAATATGCTGATGACATAGATCTATTTGGTGAAGACGCTGACAAAATGCAGTCTTCTGACTACCCTGAGCAACAATGCAATCAGGTTCGGGATGCGGTACTCACCCTCGAAATGAAAAATGTTGCTTCAAGATTAGGTTGCATTGGCACCTGAACTAGTGATAGGGAGTGAAGCAGCTGAACGTGTTGACCACTTCACATATCTCGGGAAGTCTCATCAGTTCCGATGGCCCGGCGACTGACGAAATCTCAGCACGGATACAGAAGGCTCAGTTGGCTTTTGCCAACTTGCGTCACTTATGGCGAAGTCGAGATATCCGTTTGCTGACTAAAGTATGAGTGTACTGCGCAGCAGTTCGCTCCGTCCTACTATATGGATGCGAAACATGGCCAGTCAGATTAGAATATATTCGTAGGTTGCTTGTTTTCGATCATGAGTGTCTCCGAAGCATTGCTCGTTTATCGTGGCACAACCGAGTAAGCAATGCTATTGTTAGGAAACGGGTCCTAGGTAAGGATGGCAGATCAATAGATGAAGTAGTGAATCTTCATCATTTGAAGTATTTGGTATATGTGTTACGAATGCCCAACCACCAACTGCCTCAACGAGCTGTTTGGTGGTTTAGAAAGGAATAGGTTGGGAGAAAGTTAGAGGCTAGCCAACCGAAACATGGCAGAAATCCATGAAGTCGCTGACAAGTGGACTGAGTCATGTCGTTTAGTGTTGACTACCTGGTTAGGTTCCCCGAGACGAAAGTCACCGATGGTTAGACACCTGGAGTGATGTGATTCAAAACCGTTTGTAAATTTACTTCACTGAATTATACTTCTTGAATAACATCTTCGAACCCTAATCTCTCCGATTACTTCTAATACTTTTACTACCCCTACTACTAAGGGATTTGAACTGACAATTATACCTCTGTGCCAATATGGTATGGCAAATTGAACTGATGTACTTACGTGCAAAGTTCTATGTTGCTGTTGATGATAGAGCTTGATATATACTGTGTGTTTGACTTTTGGCAAATATGACCACGACCACTAATAGTATGTAGTTATAAAGGAAGATAATCTTCTTTTGTTTTTCCTTGTCTTTTCAACTATTTACTACAAAAACAAATAACTTTACCATTAAACCTATTGCTTTTCGATTAGATGAACAAGATAAGCGCGAAACAAACTTATCAAACCAACACTTTAAAGATATACTTATCAAAAACCAAATGCATGGAAGACTATGCATGTAGATCTTCATTATAACACAGAACACCATTTCAAGCCTGAAAAATTTAATAACATTAGGAAAGAAATAGAATTTAAAATCTAGCATCAATGTATAAATATCTTTTATTTGTAATTAATCCATTTCTCAAAGTCAATTGATTGAAGAACAAATTTACATGGATTAAAATGATAAAGTGAAATTAACAGATAAAAAAATTTCACTTTGGATATTATCACCAAGCAATGTGATTTTTTTCTTTAAAAAGAAACAGTATATGTACTGAAACACGAAATGTTTCATAACAATTACAATACCAACCATAAGTACATTTAGGAAAATTACACAAATTATCAGATATTTTCACATTTTGTTGATTTCATTTCAAACTACTCACATTCGATAATTGCGTTCTAATAACTCACAGTAACAATTAATAGTAATGCTATTCACAGTGAATACAACCAACCAGCAAGTATCATTTATGTGAATCGAACTAAAATTGATGAATTGAGAAGATTACCATCTTCAAGTGTTTGAGTATCTTCAGTTAGCTCACGATTTGGATAGGAGGTGATCAGTGCGAACAATCTTGAAGCTAAATCTGGTCTTTCACTAGATTTTTGAAGGAATAAAAAAAAAGTAAAGATAGATAAATAAAAGGTGGACAATTAAAGAAGGCTCCTAAACATTAAAAAAAAGACTAATTTAAACAAATTAACACATAAAATACTAAGCAAATTATATCGAATAACCAATTTGTATCACACTGCCAAAAAATAACAACTGTTCTATAACGAGTTGTCTGTAGGAGAGTCGAGTGGAAATTACACATCTAATTTAGACGGAAAAAATAACCTGTTTAAACATTTATCATGAAAATCATGTAATACTATTCTTTGGAAAAAGTCTTTTTCACATAATATTCCGATGCATAGCATGGAGAGTTTCAGTGGATATTTCAAATAGATTAATTACAAACAGTAGACTACCCTGATTGGAGTTACAGAAATTTATTACAGTATTTATTTAGGAAAACTTAGTTTATGAAATCGAAAAGTTAAAAAGACAATTACATTGCTCAAAGATCTGTTCCCTTTGGAAAAAATCACTAAAACTATAAGAAACTAACTTACAAGAAGCATATTATACATAACTGAATAGTGTAATGAGAAGATGAAAATTATCAGAACTATGCCAAACAGTTAAAACAGGTTAAAAGATTGATCTTAACTCAGCTTTTATGGTATTTCGCAAAATTGTTTAAGGATGTCTACTGAGATTGTTGAAATCTTGGCCGCACGAAAGTTTAAACTTCCTTTATGTATTCATAACAATTTGTCCTCAACCGAAAACGATGCTGGTAATATTGTGTTATTAGACAGGGTGATGAGTTTCAAAACGTTCTTTTCATAATGATTTCTTTTCTTAAACTTACACTCCATTTGTTTCGTTGAAATTATATTTTTCATAACAAGTACATCTATGATTAGATCTTTCGAAATGTATTCCATCGATATATCACTTAGTTCTGATAAACTCCTTCTCGGTACACTAGCCGAATTCATCAAAGAAACCAATTTCTTTAAACTATACGTATAATTCGATTGCAAATGTTTATGAAAAAGAACTAACTTAAATTGTTGAAACAAGCGAATGTCAAGTAAAGGTTACATCAGATATAAAAGAAGCCAATTTAGCTAACGAGGAAGCCATAGTTAGCAAAGGAATTATATATATATATATATATTCGAGAACCAGGTTTCGGTTGAGGAAGAAACTGGGAAAAAGTGCTAGAGGTGCATAGGATAAGCATTGCAGAAATCACCCAAATGTGTCACGAGACAAGCCCCAATCTGGGATCCTCAAGGCCAGAAAAGAGGGAGATCAAGAAGACACTACGCTGGGAATCGGAAGCAGACATCAAAAGAATGAACAGCATTTGGGGACAACTGTAAAAAAGCCCGGGAGAGAGTTGGTTGGAGAATCCTGATCGGCAGCCTATGTTCCACGAGGTGTAACAAGCATTAAGGGAGTAGTGTATTCGGCTTCTCCGATCAACGTTACAAATTTTCAAGACCATCATCCATTCAAAACTAACTACTTCAGTGTTGATAATATCGAGAATTTGAATAGGTATGATGTCCAAATCAACAGGCTGTTGTCATGAACAAATACCTTCAAAATTTTCTTGTAAATATTAAAAAAGGTCATTTGTAGTGGTGTGGTGCGAGCTACTAATAGGTAGTATATGACGTGAGTGTCAACGTAATGTCTGGCAGCAGAAGATGGGGGAAGATCAAGAAAGGAAGAGTTAGAACACAATGGAATTTGTATGAAACGCATGAATAGTGACAATGGATTGATGTTTTGCTATGCTACAGGAACAGTCCAGTTCGATATGATGGACTGATATTTTGCAAATTAACGATTTACGATATGGTTTTCCTATTTTACTGAGTAACTCTGTCATTTTCGTTAAATACAATTCGGTTGCCTCATTTGTGTTCTCCTTCACTACAGTGGCAGTGAACCATGTCCTTTAGTTTAACACTAACAAATTTAAGAAGTTAATAAACAGAACCAAACTAGGAGAAAAATTTATGTTATACTTCATACAATCATTTAATTACATTCGAAAGGAGTTTAGTAAAGACATTTTTAATTCCAACGTTTACAGTTCTACTGGAAAACTGTTTTGTAATAATATATAATATCATAATATTTTTTACTAAAAAATCAAACGTATCCTGACACAAGCCAACCAACCAATAAACACTAGAGGTCGAACAGATATTTCGCTTTCAGTTTGAAAGCCTCAGAAGTATAAATCTAAGATTCAGTGAAAAATTGAATCCAGTAACTTTGTATCTCGTAGTGTAAATGATAATTTCAGGGACTCGAAAAGAATTTGCCAGTTATCACAGAGGAATAATAAGGAGTACAGTTTTGCTGATATTATTCAGTGTTTGTCCCTTTTTATTGTTAACAGTTGTTCAGTACTACTTGGTTTTTGATAATTCTTTGGTTGATTCAAGTACACAATCGAGATGGCTTTGTCATTGAGGCCCTCATACAATAAGTATGAATGAAAACCGAGTGCATAAATCTACACATGGTAAATAAATTATCGATTCCATGATAAAAAATATTCTTGTAAAAGCTTTGCTGTCATTAGAAAACACACGTAAACAAATGTTGATTAATGAATCAATATAATTTCTTCATTGTCGCCTAAAATATCCATATTTTTAATGTACAGATTGAATTATTCAAAAACTTTGATAATATAGAAATGAATCTGCAGTAATGACGTTATATAACAAAATGAACGAGAAAAAGTCAGCATATCAAAAAGCAACTTACGCAAAAAATGTTTGTAAACTACAATGGCTCGAAAATGTTGAATGATTACGTGAAAATTGTAAAGATTTCAGGAAAACGAACATTCAGTATATTTATTTAGATTACCACTCAACTTAAAATTACTTCGACAATCAGTACATAATGTGAAACACACATAATCTTGTGAAATCACGTTTTGTACACCAAAAATGTATTAAAAGAAAACTCAAAAAAAAGTCTAAATAATTTAACACATGAAACAAAAAAAAAGTTATCTATATTTACTGAGGTGTAAGGTTTGTGAAAGACCTTTGTTCAACCAGGTAGTAGTACTAGTAGACTTCAAACAAACGTTTGAATTGAAATTGAGTTCATGGGCATTTCACGCTCACAATGAGTTGTATTAATTCTAACTAGATTCAAATAAAAACTTATCAACATTTATTTTTAATACTAACGTTACGAAAATTTATATTTATTCATTTATTCTGTAAATAATAAAAATTCTAAAACAGATTTCTTTTTACGCATATTTTTGTGGTTGAGGAGGGGGGTGGGCGAGAGGAAATAATCATTTGTTTATTGGTTTTATATAAATAAATATTCATCATTTTTGTAATTGTCTGTTCACATTCCAATTAAAATAAAAAATGTGTTAATTATAAGTTAATAAACAATGTGAATACTTTTACTCATTCATTTTAGTTTGTTTTAATAACAAACAAAAAATTATATAAAGCGATATATATATATACAGTGAAACATAAATTTTTATTTACACTAAATAGGCATGTTTGAAAAACATTGTAACTCAGTACCATTATGCATTTTATTGTACAACTAATCAGTACACGTTTTAATCGATCTAGACATACTAGTAGTTAAATAAACAGCCTACAACTCAGTTATCTTCAACAATTTTGCAGAAATACAATCATTTCTTATATTAAAATCATTCAAAAAAGCCCATTCCTTTTACTATATGTGAATGATCTTCAAAATTTATATATAGTGCTGATAGAATTCTGTGAATGGAGTTGCAATGTGGTCAGTGGTTGAAGTGACTCAATATTGTTTTCATGATAAGAGGTTGAAGAGGGGTGACAAGAAAAACCTATTAGAACTAGGTTTTGTGCTAATAAGAATTCGTTAGCCGAGTGTTAACATTTAAGACTTTGAAGTTGGGTAATGAGTTTGAACCCCATAAGAGGTACAAGTTCCGGTAAGATGCACGCCTAGGGAACAAATAACAATTGACATTAGTATTCAAAACATTTGTATAATATATTTTTAACAATTAATTATGTCTAACTATAACCGTATGGAATGTATACTATGAACGCATTATATTAATTGACTGGTATAATGATGAAACATGTTTACAAATACATTAGAAGAATAAAACCAAACTTGAAAAAAAGTCTTGAGAATGTAAAAAACATGCAGAGTTATGGTAGTCCAATCTAAAATATTACAGAAATTTCTTTCTACACGGATTTAATCTACTTGATACAATATACATACAAGTAATAATTATATTCCAATGGATGTTACTAGTTACTTCGTTTATAAATACGCTTCAGAAGTATACAAAAAAATAATAACGAACTCATAGTGATACGTTGGTTGAAATAAAAAATATATATTGGTAAAATCACAGGCAAAATTAAAGATAAAGTAAGTAAGTCAACTTTTAGTAAAAAGGTTGTAAGAACTTATTCATTTACACAATCTGAATATCATCTCCTATAAATATTTATTAAGTATTATATTGACTTTTATTAAACACTGAATAATGGATAACTAATGTTAAAAAAAAAATAAAGGTTACATGGATAATGTTCAATTTTTTCTTTCTATTTAAATGAGTGATCGATTTTAACAATCTCAATATACTTCATCTCTATACAATTTGTATCATATTTAGAATTTAGTCTTAGTTTATAAGACATGATAAAAATTATTTTCTAATGGAAAAATATTGGTATAAGCAACGTTTGCAATGTCGCAAGTGCATTCACTCTTAAATTCTAACTTTCTGAATTCTTCATCATCTCTATCTTTCTCTTTATAACTTTGTTTCACTGAATTATACTTCTCGTATCATATTTTGGAACCTTAGACCTCTCATTACTGCTAATACTTCCGACATCTCTACCACTATGGGATTTGAACTGACAGTTGTGTCTCTGTGCTAATGCGGTATGGCAACGTGAACTGATGTACGTACGTACGATGTTCTGCATTGTATCTATCTGTCTGTCTGTATTGGTATAAGCAAACGGTTGAAGCTACATCTATATCTTTAATTAATAAATAAAGCTATGGAATAACTAACATTCAGTGAATACACAAAAATAAATAAATATGAAAAATAATCTTTGAGATCAACAGACAATGAACTTGGTTGTCATTATCTTTCAACAAAAATAAACCAAATCAGAAACAGTAAATAAATAACAACAACAAAATAATTCATTATCAAAATTAATATTTGTTAAAGAAGCGTTAGTTAACTTTCAAATCAGTCTAGAAAATAAGCAACAAACTAAATCGTTTAAAAATAATTAAGCGGAAGAAATAACTACATGTAGTCTTACAGTTGTACATAAATTGTATTGATACAATATCAGTGAATAGTTCATGTAAATATGAAGAAACATTTTATTGGTTATCCAATGTAAAATAGATAGTAGGCGTGAAAAAAAAACCTTTGATCGTAATAATCTTAAATCTAGAAAATAACCTCATCTGACCTAATAATGGTATGGTAATTATTTTATCATTTCAGAACAAGTTTTCCATAAATATTTAAGAAGAGTGGTAAAACATTTAACAAGGTGAAATAAAATTGTCACAAGTCTTACATCTGACGGACAATGATATTACTTGTTGGTCAATGTACACAGAGTCAATTCAAGCTCAGGATTTAGAATCCAGTAGTTTACAAGTACGAAAATGGGGAGAGATAAAATTTAATAATGACATAAATGAATAAAATTCCTATTCTCGTGAAGCAGAACAACCCACGGTTAATATAACATCAGATATATCTCATTAGGAAAAGTTAGCATTGAAGTATGAAGAACGATGAATTACAAAACATAATTTATACTCTGTGTAACAATAATCGAAGCTTAAAATGAAAATAAAGATGAACCAGAAATTTCCCATCTCATATTATGATAGAATTTCAAGTGGTGAGACATTATAAATGAACTTAGATGTATATTACAAACAATGGTGATGCCAGACAGACTCAAATCAGTAAAGTGAATACAGAAGAATTCATACATACATTTTAACTTATCAGAAAAATTACGACAAGTATGCTAAATTTGAATTCCCCTCTTCATACTTCACATGTTACTAGACAAAAAATTTAATTAAACTTTCTACATTTCATTTCGAAAGTCTACGGTAGATAATAACACAGCTGGAGTGCATTATATATATATATATATATATATATATATATATATATATATATATATATATTTATATATTCAGTAGAACACATTACAGACATGATAGTTGTAAGTTATGATTAAACAGAAGCAGACTTGGTGATTCCTAATTTTCTAACTGATTAACAGATTTTTTAAAAAAGAATTACATCACGTAAAAAAAGTTGCATATTTTGTGAATAATAATTGTATAAGTTACAATGCAAATTTACATTGGAATTACTAATGAACTTCGTTTCGGTTAATATATATGTATATAATATAATATGTATATATATAATATGTATATTATATATATATATATATATATGTCATATATTATCAGTAGAAATGTCTTTAACGTTGTCAATTAATTGTTTATTGACAAATCATTATGAATTGATGATTAAGAATCACTTGTCAACTTTTCTTACGTGAAAATGAACTAGGGCTTTGTTGATCTAGCTGATACAAGTTAAATTTTTAGTCATATCCAATTCATAACTGACTTATACAATCCATGTGTATTTATTCAGCTATGAGGTATACTGTTCGTGTAATATTGTTCCATGTTATCACTGAATTATACAAATTGAAATCAATGAAGAAATGTTTGAGTTTATGACATTCTGGTTGGAAATTAACTGACTTAAAAATTATATCATAGATTTTTTTGTTAAACTCTACACGATAAATGAAACAATGAGACAACAAATAAGTATTATTATCATTGTTAAATAAATAAAAACTTCCAAATAGGAAGACAAAGTGCATCAACAATAAAATAAATTGACAATCAGACAAAGAGATTTACTTTTTAAAAACAATAATAATAATGACAAAAACAGCAAGAACAATAGAAATGCATTAAGCAAATAAGTCAACTTTTTTCTGATACTTAGCAGAGAACTTGTTAATAGTTATTAGGAATTATAACAATAATAGTAATGTTGATTTGATAAAAACTTAAAAATTTCAATAAAGAAGTAAAACAACAACGCACTTATGAGTTGAAGCTAGAAAAATAAGTCAACCTGACGTCAATAAAACAAAGGAATGCTGCAATAATAATAATAATAATAATAATAATAACAATAATAATGAAATTACATGATTTAGTTATTTAACATCATGAAAATACCATATATACATATTGTAAGAGGACAAAACAGGTGAAGCGTTAAATTACAATTATACACCAACGATACTACTAATCATATTAAACAAATAATTAGGACAACTATTTTTAAATTAACCTAATCATAAACAAACTGATTGGAAGTAAGATCAATTGGATTTATATCAAATATTGTGTAAATCAAACTGAACTGAGATATTATCTGATTAAAACACAATGACCATGCATCAAAGGGAAAAAAACAGTAGATGAATAAATGAAAGCATGTAAATAAGAACAGGTGGAATGTACAAATAGAAAACGTATTAATGGAAAGAAACATAAAGATAACACTAAATGAAGTCATTTTTTTTCATGGCACAACAACGAATAATCTCATACAGCTGGTTTTAGTTTATATCTTATCACTTCAAAATAAATAGATACATCTAATCAATGCAGATTTAGTTCATAATTTATACATACTAGTAATATGCTAATATAAAATGTACTTCATATTAGAAATATGCAGTACAATTAGTTCAGATAAATAGTATTAAACAATTGTATTTAAAAATGACAAACAATCTTTATAACGACACTTTATTCAATTCAAGTAAACCAATCCGTTCAACATTGATCCATATTCAATACCATGTAACACAATATGGAAATAAAATAATCAACCTTAAAATAACAGTCAAGAAAGGTAAACTTCATAGTCGTTTAAAAAATTTACAGGTAATCAAAATAGATTATAACTAATCAATATATGATTGTTATATAACTGTACTTTGAATTATATTTAACAAAACTTTATTATAATTTATATTTTTAACGTTATCAGCTTGTATTTGATCGGTATTCATTAGTATAAATTAAAAAAAATATTTCAACAAAAGCATTAGTCACTAAATTTATGTACTAAAATACACATATGAAAATAAAACAAACTGAATAAAAAGAATACTAATCAAGTGTAGTTTTCACTATGAATCATAATATAATGAAGCAATCAATTTAGAAACACAACAATAAATGTTGTCAAACAGAATAGTACTGATCACAGTTTACAAGTACTTTGTTAGCTGACTTATTTTATTTACATACCAATATTCGTGAAAAGTAAGCTTGTAAGAGAGAACATTTACGTGTTAAAAAGGCGCTGGGCGTCCAATTTATTTAATACCTACAATTCCATCGAAAAAATGGGCACATAGAAGGCAAAAAAATAGTCCGAGCGTTGTATTTGTCTAATATGAAATTGATCATCTGATTGGGGACTAGTAAAACCGTAAACATTAATCAAGCAATCAAATGGGATTTTAGGAATATTACAAGCAAAATCTAATATGAACTGATAAGAAACGTTTTTTAGTAAAAAAAAATCACCAACTACCTCAGTAGATTACAATATTTAGGTTTCATGGGTGCAATTACCTCTCATTTTACCAATGAATACAATTGAAATTAGTTCAATTTCGAAAATAATTTCTAAATATAATTTACACAGATTAGTTAGTTGAAATAAGTCAACCAAAAAAAATTCCATAGAATATAATGAAATTAATAAAATAACCGTAAAATATTCTGCATCTTGCACATAAATATCTTGTAGATTATTTATATTACTGATAAGTAGTATAACACAGAATGCAGGAAAATAGAAAACTTACTTGACAATTGCTCTTCTGATATCGCCAACTGTATGCGAATTGTTTAGACGGATTACAAATCTGAAATAATAAAAAACCGAAGTTTCAAGAAGGTGTAATTATACCGACTACAGTTTACCACATCTACCTCTCTTAACGATGTCATGTATGATATTCTGTCAGCACCACCAGCCGATGCCCGGATAGAGTGTGAAAAGGATGAAAGTGGTTGTTTTATGACATTTGATTTTGAGTTACCATCTTCTGAAATGTTACTTCTTGGGGACAGTCTTCGAAATCATTCAAATCAATGATATTAAGGCTTTATTGGGAACAGGTTATATCATAACCACTTGCGAAGCCACTGTAGATTTTTTGTATTCTACACGAACAATACAGTAATACACTTTAGGAGAAATAAAATCTACCTCAGTTTTGGTCTTATTTGAGTAACATTTTTCGGTGCTTTTATTTGAGGAAAATAACAATGATTATTTGAACTGTTTTTAAAGGCTACATAGTTTCTAACTCAAAGGGCTAACAAAGAGTAATATAGTTACACTTCATTTAACAGATGTTCTCCGTAAATGTGCTATCAATATTTGTTAAAAGCGGATTCCCATAGATTTATTCGATTGATAGTTTGTTGATTTTCAGATAGTTCAGTTTCACATTCGTCAATTAACAAGGTCGTTCTCATGTCTTGGTCTAATCACCCAATTAATATTTCTTATTAGTTTTATAGTAGAAGTATAATACAGTATACTCATATACAGTCAAAAACATTAATTCAAAGAATGATAAGCAGTATAAATTTTAGGTATGGATTAATCAAGAGCTTGTTTAATCTTTCATATAACTCATATGTCTAAAAAGTTATTTATTATTTAAATACGACTAGATCATTATTAAACGATGCATTTAGCTGATCTAAACTAATTGGAATATGACAAACTTATTATGCTAACCGTTTCATAAAAATAAATTCATGAACGAGAATCAATAACACTGTTCACATGATGCAGATGCATACTGTCAGATACTCAAATGTTTGATAATGACCTGTGTATGAAATCTGGTTTTATACGTTCCAGTTCGCGGTACAAGCATACTTCATGAATACAGATGAGATTTCAGTTAACAACTAAAAATTTACAAGTACCTTTCAAAGGTTCAATTAAAATTATTTAACTACGTAATGTAAATGAAACATTAGATTTTACTGACATAACTTATATAGTACTATTATTTTGGTTTACCTCGACCCATCAGGTAATCGAATCTGAATTCGTGTTACTGGCTTGGTATCATCTACTGCGACACCAGGTTCACTGGTTTCGTTGACATTGACCTTCGGTGGAGTGTTTGATACGATACGAGGAAGTGGAGAACCAAGCATGTGTCCTGTACCAGCAAAAGGTTTGATTTTAGGAGCAGGAGGAGCCTGCCACTCTTCATGGTGATGATCCTCAAGCATAACATTAACCATATTTCCACCAGCAGATTTCAAAAGTTCCTACAAGTAACGTAGTTTTGCATAAATAATTAGCAAGCAATAGTTAACGATAGTTATGTACATAACCAGACAAAGGTTAGCGTCCACATGTAAGGTGATCATAAATTTAATATATATTATAAAGCGCAGGATAGAGCGAACTGCTGTGCACTGGACTCGTTCTTTGGTTGGCGAACGGATATCTCGCGTACGCTGTAAGTGATGCAAGTTGGCAAAAGCTAGTCAAGCCTTCTGTATCCGTGCTCAGATTTTTTCAAACACCAGACCATCAGCACTGGTAGGACTCCCGAGATAAGTGAAGCAGTCAATACACTCAACTGCCTCAGTCCCTATGACTAGTTCAGGTGCCCATCCAAGCCAATCTTGAAGCAACACTCTGTCATGTATCTTCATACGTGTGGAATATTAACTATATCGGGATAGATGCTAAAACCTCGTCGATTTTGTGAACATGTATTTCACAAAGGAGGAATTATGCACGACATAGTTGCAAGCTCTTTTTAACAAGTTTTGAGTTACTCAATCAATCGCAAAGTAAAGCCTGTCAGAGGTGTACATCGGTTCAGGTTGGCATATCCCATTACTCAATCAATTAATTCCGCCTGCAGACCCTTTAAGGCTACTGCCGGTCCCAAGCCCGGATAAAGGAGGAGGGTTGAGATGGAATTGTCAGAGTAAATCACATAGTATTAGCAGTACTATTGGTAATGGAAAAGATTAAGTATCAAAGATACATGACTCAGTCCACTTGTCAGTGACTTCATGGATTTCCGCGATGTTTTGGTTTGGCCTTCCCTAGCTTTCTCCCAACCTACTTCTACACCACAAAACATAGCTCGACGAGGCAGCCGGTGGTTAGGCATTCGCACCTTAGTCTACATGGCAAAGTCCAGCATTTAGTTTCTTCATGGATTAATGCAATTTCTTAGCTTGACCGTACCTGGGTTTTATCCAACTTAATCTTACATCAGGCATAACAGTGCGTCAAAGTAGTCGGTGAATGAGCACACGCACTGCATGTCACAAACATCTACAAATATCCTCTATTTTTAAAGGTATGCCTTTGTTTCAGCTAAATAACCGTTATCAACATTTTCAGTCAGTGTATGAGGAAGAAATAACTACTTTCTAACTTTCAGAATGACATGTTATTAATTAATAACAAAGACAGAAATTCTACTTTCAGATTTCTACAATTTTTAATGTTAATGTTAATAGGAAAGTACGAAATTTCGTCCTAAGTTGAATAATGGACACAATAAACGAAAAAAAATGATTATTGCTAGCCTGAGGGATTTGACCGCTTTGTATTGCATCAAAAAATTTGGAAGCATCTGGATCAGTATAAGAACGTAACGGTCCATTATCTAAACTAAAACCATCACGCCACATTTTCACAATAACATTTTGTTCAGAGATGCTGTTTGTACTAGAACTGCTCGCAGTGGTTGACTCCAGCTGGGATGGAGCATTAGGATCATCACCAAGCCTGAACAAGAAAAAAACAAATATATTTGTAAGAAACTTTTTGCACTTATCTTTCGAAAAACGCTTGGAAATACAAATTAAACAACAGTTAATAAACAGAACATCTTGAAATGCAGAACACAATCGGAAAGTCGCGGTGTATAGGATCAACAGGCTTATATATCATGCATGAATTCCATGACTGAGAGTTAGACAATGCTGACATAAGTGACATAATCAGTCAATCATATATTAATTAGGATCTGAAAAAATGTTTAACACCTCATACCACTTCAGAGAGAAAAGTAATGAAACGAAAACTCAGTAAGTGAAAATGATAGTATCTGCTGTAGCGGGATATTAAACACTACGGATCTATTTCAAAAAGGACCAACGAGATCGAAAAAGGAAATATACAGAGTAACAATGAAAGCAAACTTTAGGAGAAAACGGATACAAGTATCTCAACGTTCACTAATTTAAACACTATGAATCAGTCCACAACGATAGATTACGAATATCACTGGCGTCTAAATCAAAAAGTTAACATCGCTCGCAACGACATAAGACAGAAGTCAGTGACTTGATGGGTTGATAACATCAATTAAGGAACAACTTAGTGAACTGTTCCTGCATCGAGATGTTAGAAGCAATATAGGAACTTCGGACTGATACTAAAGACATATCAAAAGATATCACAAGTCAACTGTGTGATTTCATTAAATCATTTACATATATTTAAGTTATTGTAGATAGCAAAGATTTCTGTTGAATCTTTCCTAATGCAAGGCAAAGAAGCTGTACAGTCTTTTGTTGCGAAGTACAGGATAAATACAAAATTGCTACTAGTGTGGCTACTTAAATTCTCCTTTGATTTTTCGGAAACCGAAAACTTAATCAATGGATACATTAACATCAACTTATCTGAGATATTACGAAGACAGTTACGTATCTATAGGATGTTTTATGTACAATATTAAGTCTCTTAGCGAAAATCATTTTAATGTTTATAACTAGGAACAGCATCATATAAAGTATGTACAGAAACGTCTGTTAACAATGTGCATATCCTTATTAAACTGACTGATTGAATGAGAAGAGCTGAAGCTAAAGTGATGACACGAAAAATCCAATCAATCAATCAAAAGCAACGTAGAACTTCGTACGTACGTACCTACGTACATCAGTTCACGTTGCCATACCACATTAGCACAGAGATGCAATAATCGGAGAGATAGAGGTTCGAGGACATTATTCAAGAAGTAGAATCCAGTGAAATAAACTTAAAAAGAAAAAGACAAAGGTAATGAAGAACTCTGAAGGTTAGGATTTCATAGAACACCAAGAATGAATGCACCTGAGCGATTGCAAACGGTTTTGAGCCATGTCATTCAAAGTCTCTAACCATCGGTTACTATCATCTCACAGACCTCAACCAGAGAGTTTACATCTACCAACATAACTCAGTCCACTAGTTAGTGACTTCATGGATTTCTGCCATGTTTTGGTCTGGCAGCCCCTAGCTTTCTTCCAACCTATTCCTTTCTAAACCACCAAACAGCTCGTTGAGGCAGTTGGTGGTTTGGCATTCGTAACACATATACTAAACATCTCTAATGATGAAGATTCACTACTTCATCTATTGATCTGCCATCCTTACCTAGGACCCTAACAATAGCATTGCTTACTCGGTTGTGCCACGATAAACGAGCAATGCTTCGGAGACACTCATGATCGAAAACAAGCAACCTACGAATATATTCTAATCTGACTGGTCATGTTTCACAGCCATATAGTAGGACGGAGCGAACTGCTGCGCAGTACACTCAGACTTTAGTCAGCAAATCGATATCTCGACTTCGCCATAAGTGACGCAAGTTGGCAAAAGCCAACTGAGCCTTCTGTATCCGTGCTGAGATTACATCAGTCACCAGGCCATCGGAACTGATGAGACTCCCGAGATAAGTGAAGCGGTCAACACGCTCAACTATTTCACTCCCTATCAGTTGTTCAGGTACCGATGCGAACCAATCTTGAAGCAACATTTTTCATTTCGAGAGGGAAAACCGCATCCCAAACTTGCTTGCATTGTTGCTTAGAATAGTCAGAAGACTCTGCATTTTGTCAGCGTCTTCACCGAATAGGACTATGTCATCAACACACTCTACGTCAGCAAGCTTGTCTCCGGGTAGAAGGTCCACTCCAGAAAGGTCAGACGATGATAATGATAACTCTAAAAGTTTATCTACGACAAAGTTAAACAAGTATGGAGAGAGTGGACAGCCCTAACGAACACCACTTGAAGTAACCAATTTCGATTATTGTTCGCCATTAGCTCTCACTTGACCAGTAGTGTTCGAGTAGACAGCTTGTATAAGGTTATTGTACTTCTCTGGTACACCTTCCAATGACAGACACTGCCACAGAACCTCACGATCAACAGAGTCAGATGCCGTCCTAAGATCCAGGAAGATAACTATTGTCAGACGCCGAAATGTGTGTCTGCGTTCTAGGACTTTTCGTAGTGTAAATATGTGACCTATATAGCCACGTCCGGGTCTGGACGCACTCTGATTATCTCGAGTCTGCCCTTCATGAGCTCTAGTTGGGAGTCCAGGTGTTATTGAAGCTAGTATCTTAGACACCATATCAGTCAAACTGATTACTCTGTGATTGCCACAAGAGGACTTTTATCCTTTCTTGTAAACTAAGACAATCAGCAAATGAGACCGTACAGATGGGATTACTTCCAGTTCCTAGATTCTACCTAAGATCTCAATCAACCTAGCTGCTAAAACTGGACCACCATCCTTAAATTTCTCAGGGTTCAGTCTACCAAGACCTGCAGCTCGCCCTCGCTTCAGAGGACGACTTATATCTATTTGCCATTCAAAATGACTGGAGATCACGGGCAACCGAAGTGTGGCTGAAGGCCAGTTGAACTGATCCCTAAAGTGTTCTGCCCATCGATCCAATCTCCTAGGTTGAGAATGGATAATAAGCCCATCCTTTTCGCTAACGGATGGATTTCTAATACCGGTTTCCTTGGTAAGTCGGAACAACTGTCTGTTGTTACCTATCGCCTCTGCCTTTTCCATCTCACTTGCTTCCGTTATCCACCACTGTTCGCAATCATTGCGTAGGCTTTTTATCAGCCTGCGCTTAAGCTGACTTCGCTCTTCACCATGTTCAGAGCCAGAAGGGATGGGTTTACGAGCATCTATCAGTTCGATGGATGCCATGAGATCCATGGCTTATTCTTAGCCCTATGGTTTACCTTGCTAGCAGATATCACTGCTGTTTCCACAGCCTTTTTGATATCATTCCAAGCTACCTCAGGGTGGGCATTACTGACTACATGGCTGACTAACTGTCTTTCTAGTTGTTCGTGAAATATATTCTTAGCTTCATTATCATTACATAGAGCCCTAAGAGGTTTCCTTGCAGCGTCTTTCTTATGCCAAGTAAGTCGCAAACAATTACGCGCTGTCATTAGAGCATGGTCTGAATCCAGGCATGTGCTCCAGAACGAGAGACAGTCCTCTATTGAGCCCCTCCATCGGTGGCTGATTGCGATGTGATCTAGTCGGGTCTATCATTGAGACGCCTTTGGGGGTCACCAGGTCAAAATGATTTTTCTTATGCTTAAAGTTAGTGTTTGCTAGGAATAGGCGGTTGTCTGAGCATAGCTGCAGCAGACGGTTGCAATCGCCTGTTCGATTAGCCGCGACACCATAAGATACACCCAGGTGTCTTTCCTTTTCACCTAGTCTACCCACTTGAGTGTTGAGGTCACCAGCCATTATTACCATATCAGAGTGCTTAACATTTTAGAGAAGTTTAAAGAGGTTTCTATAAAACTTGTCTTTTATGTAGTCCGAACTGCAGTCAGTGGGAAAGTAGGCAGATACGACGAAGAGGCAACGGCGAGTGTCCCTATCCTTCCGAGTCCGTACCGTCCTGTTTAGTCGGACAACGCATAAGCGACTGTCTATCGGGATCCAGTCTAAGAGAGCTAGTTCTGCCTTAGGACTGAATATTATACATACGCCAGTGACGCCACGGGAAGCAGCATCAGGGCTAACAGAAACACGAAGCGTAAACCTTGTTGTTTCTCTATCTTCACTAGGTGAAATCAAATTGATGATTTTACTCGGATCTTGTATGCGTGTTTCGGAGACGCAACATACATTGATCGCTCCGGATTCCAGAGTTCTAGCTAATGAAGCCTGCTGCCCTATCTGGCGCAGAGTTCGGACATTAAAAGCTCCTATATGTAATTTAGTACGGAGTTCCATTAGATCAGGAGTCATATTTCGTGAGCTCAAACCGTTTGCTTCAGCGGCGTGAGGTGACCATCGATCGAAGGAAGAGTTGGCCGAAGATACATGAAAAATCGCTCCCCATATTGTTTACAGTAATAATATAATTCGACAAAAATAAATAAAGAATCATAATTATTAACTAACAGTTCACGCATATTATGAAACTGATTATGACTTTTTAGCTGTCAGAAACCAATAATTAACGAGAATACTTTTTACAAACACAACTCTTCAATATGACCACAGTATGTGGCTTAAGCTATAGATTTCCGGGGTTGGCATTGGATCTTCAAGATTCATTAGAATTTCAAAGCAAGCAGCACTGAAGCAGAAGATTGGCTTTTGATTTTTTACATAACAACAAATTAGGATTGCTATTAAGGAGGATCTGTATTGATTTTGAACAACATATGAGAAAAGTTTACTATGCCCCACTGCAAAATACTATGAATCTTCGAGTAAGATTAATATTATTCAAGTGAGGTGATTGATTCTTAGCCATCTACTAGACGAATGTCAAATTGACCTTACGTATCATGTGTAGCCTTAAGAACCAATGTTCTTAATTAAATAAGGGAGAGTTGCCGATAACTTATGCAGTTCCTTTCGTAATTAAGTAATCAGTTCATTATTATCCCAGTGTAAGGACTGTCTTACTATCTTGGAAACAGTGACATGGTTGTCTAGACCGTGGAAAATGGGAAGTACTTTCGGCCACTTTTCGGATGCCTGTGTCATGAGTTTAAATGAGTGACTCGAAATTTGCTAAACTTACATTGATTTGAAAATAACACTAGTTGGTTGTAGAGATTCTCAATTCATTGTTGTTAATATTCGACAATGAATTAAGCATTCTTTGTCAGCTCACATCCTACTTAAACTCAATATTTCTTGGTTTCATTTGTTCATTTCAAATTTTGATAAAGCTAGTAATAAAACGCAGGACACATAGTTTGTCATATTTGAAACTCGTCGATAGAAATTTCAATACTGAGATGCAAGTATGGACACTGCATTAGATGAAATCATACTACAACAATTGAAAAAAAGACAACCTAACAGAAGAACATCAACTGATTATAGTATTGCGTAGTTTTTATCTCATTTCACTTACTTGTAACCGACTCCACTAAAAGGCAATTGAGTTTTCGGTTTACTTTTGTATTGATGTGTATCTAATACCTCGGCTCCTTTACCTTTGGCAGCTTGGAAAAGATTACGGACAAAAACGTCTGTGGCTTGGGAAGGATCATGGGCTGTTCTGTTACCATCACGTCTTGGAGGGCCAAGGACCTGTTGACCACCACCTCCAGTCTCTGAACCACCAACGTAAAATGCCTGTCCCTTATCTAATTCATCATCACTAAGCAAAGGAAAATGGGGTAGCGATATTGTTATACTATTAGTTTCAATTTTGAAAAGTAGTATTCATTCATACAACATTAGATGGGTTCGTAAACTGGCGGAATGAAGTTTGACTCTGCGACAAAATGAGAAACATGAACCATTCGACTAATTCTTAGAACCGCTGCACTCATGATTGCTCAAGTTGAATATGAGTACAACCTAATCATTGTTTACAAATATTAACTACGAAATTTCAATACCATGGGACAGTTAGGGAGCATTTCCAAGTGTGAGCAGAATCAAAAAGCTAATAGGTATTCCAAAGTGAGCTTGCACATCTGTTTGTCTTAAGTGAAGTAAAAACGCCATAAAAAGAGCTATTCAAATCTGAGCAATTAGCTAACAAGAAAGATTAGTAGAAATAACAGGGCGAAACTAAGCAGTGCAAACATAAACGCCTAATAAGATAGAAAACAAACGAATTCCTTCCCGTTATCGTCATTGTTAAGGAATCATTTCATATAAGGTAGGTATTTCGATCTCTAATTTGCCGACAATTTCATTTAGAAAACCGACGTTTCTTCTAAACTACTTGTATCAACAGTAAACCCGATTGCTTCAAGGCTTACACATATCTACTCGTATATCACTGAGTATTACATGCTTTGCTGAGTGACGATAAATAATTCGTCTTATCCCATGACCAACGATCATAATACGTAGAGTTGTGCAACAAACGATTCAGGTCTTAGGCAATTAAGCCAACCCTTTTAGCCATGCTGAAATTTCGAACTGTAGCCAATCATGGCCGAAAAACCTTCCTATATAAATGACAAGCCTAAGAATTCAATTACTTTATTCCCTGTTTTGGAAATTGGTGTAGAATTATAGATTAGTACTCATTTTTTCAGTGATACATAATTCAGTCACCTAAAACGTAGAACTGCGTACGTATGTAAATCGGCGGCAATACCACATCAGCACAGAGATCGAGTTGTCAATTCAAAAAGTAAAAGAGTTACTAGGAGTAAGGAATTTATTATGACCAATATGGTCTCGTATGCAGTTAGGAGTATGAGGGCGGGTGTCACTTACGGACAGCCCTTAATGTGGAAAATATTTCTTGAAGCACATGAAGAAGGTTTTGGGTTAGCCGTGGTCTTAGAGACCTCGGAGTGACCGCAGAGCCCAAGGGACAACTGCCCGATACCAGGACGCGCATGACATTTTTATGAGTTTTTAGAGTACTAGCTCCGCCGGAGACGGAATTCGTGGAGTAAGAAGTGACATTTTTAGGGTTAACATTTTCTAACCCTTCCTTCCTTGTAACAAGGCAGTATCGATGCAGTTGCTGGTTGTCCGAGGGAAACACCTTACTGCTGTCACACCCCTCTACAGTCAGTAGTACGACTTCGCCCTCAGACCTTGAGTAGCTGCTTCAATCTCCAATCTACCTGCCTGGCACGGTAAGACCTGAAGGAACATACGTTCCAGACAATATAGCTCGGTAGGGTCATCATGATTAGCAAGCCCGACTACCACATCAAGGTAGCAGCTACGGTCGGGTAGTGATACAAAACCTTCTACAAAACTTCCCAAGATTGTTACTGTTTCGCAAACAAAATATCTTGATAGAATTTTTGTGTACAATTGCATTACCATATATTTAATCAATATATATGTACTAGTTTCTTCATTGCCGTATACTACAACTGTCAACATTAATAAAGTCACTTGTTATTATCAAACAATATGACAGACTAGTGAGTGAGTTTATGTTAAAGAATCACGTGTAGACTGAAGATGTGAAATATACACTCATAAATGTACCATGAGATTGCTACAAGCTGGATCAGCTGGTTTCCAGTTTACATTAAATATCTGACTAGTTTCTAGACAACAACTGACTACCACAACGCCTGACATCCTTAGTCAGTTTAACTAGTAAGTTTTTTTATTTTTAAAAGCAGAAATTTAAATGCTACTGATAGGTTTGAGGTTCGTAAACACTGACTACACTTCATGTTGAAGACTGACGTCAACAGCTTATTGGGATAGTACAATAAAAGGATGGTTGCAAATCCTACGGCAACATACAGGGTAATAAGTTCAATTAACTTAAATTGTGATATTGTAATATTTCACTTGGGACGGTAAGCAGATTACCGGGGTGAACTTTAATCACCCTGAAATTGGAATTTCAAGAGCGAGCAAGTAAACTATGCAAACACCTGAAAACGGTGAACTAGATTGGTTAGTGTGGGTGTGTGATCAACTAAGTCGATAAATTTAAGTAGGACCCTTGTACATAAACATTACATTTTTATCCAGACTTTCCAAACTTAGGAAGTGCCGTGTATGCTGTTCGTAATATAGAAAAAGATCGGGCACTCGGAAAGGACGTAAAAAAACAACTCGATACTGGAAGCCTCCCTAAAGTACAAAATAATTACCTGGTACTTCGAAACTGGGAAAAGCACAAAGCCTTTATTTGAAAAAGAGGAAATCTCCTACACTTAGCTACCATTTTAAACTTGTCATTAGTATACATTACTTTAATACTTTTGGTGAATGTTAACAAAAAATATACTTGTTTAGATTTACAACATATTGGATTGTACAGCCTTACCTGTTGTTTTCAAGGGTACTCAGAGTCGCTATTTTAGGTTTGCTGAATGCTGATTTATTTGCTGTGGACGATGAAGGTTCCTTGTAGCTTTGGTTTAGTGGCTGAGTAATATGATCCACATGTGGCGTATCACTTGAATGCACAGGATCCTCTGATTCATAATATGCCTTGATTGCCTCCTGTAATAAGAAGCTAGCTCAGATATAATCAAACATACGTCACAGTCCCCACCGAAAGCTTCCAGAAAATGTTTAGCTTCTAATTCAGACGTCCCAGTAATACTGCAAAAATTTTGGATGACAGAAGGGTCCATGTGAATTATGTCAAGTGACTTAGACCTAAACGTCTTACACCGTCTCCTGCTTTTTATTATCTCAATGAAGCTGTAACTTCCGCCTCTGGTAAACTGGAGTCTACCCAAAAGGTACCTTGTATACTAGGGGAGTGTGAGGAACAGTATATGCGATTATCTGGAAAAGGAAAAGACAAGAGAAATAGTGAGCCAACGACCCAGTAAACGCATAAAATGCATCGACTTTTATTAAAGAAAGCAATCGACAGCAATCAGAAATAACACACGTATGATATAAAGACAAATTGTTAATCGGTACTAGGAGTTGGTAGCGTCAGATTTTGAATGCGTTACACAATTGTAACTTCAGCCTTTGGTTGGGTTGCGTCTAAACAGGAGGTACCCTGTGTGCTAGGGGGAATGTGAAGAGCAGCGTATCAGATTATCTGGAAGAAGAGAGAGCAAGAGTTAAAGATGAGCCGACGACTCAGTAAGCACAGAGAATGCACTTACATGCAATATACGAATAAATAGACAGCGACCAGATATAAAGCCAGCGTGAGATTAAGACAAACTGATAAACGAGACTAGGAGTTGATAAAGTGAGGTTTCGAATGCGTTACACAATTGGAAGCTGAAAGTCGCGCTGTAAATATATTTACCTTCCTATTGGTGAGTTGCATAATCCTCTCAGTGGCAATCAGATACATGAGGTCTCCCATCTTTGTAAGGAGTTCGTTACTGATAGGGTCTTTGAAGTGGACTAACTTCCGGATAGACGAGAATGTTCACGTGTATAACGTTGACGAGTTACTTCCTGATCGCCTGGCTACTAGTTCGAAACTACACTCCTGTCATCTTGGAAATATATAATAGTAAATACTAGCTAAATTGACATTATATTTCTGAAAATGTCTTACAAACTAGTATTTTGCATCTCGAACATTATACAGTTAGTGCTTGTTATTACTCAGATTAAACATGCCTTGTCTGGAACAGTATTATCACTGTTGTTAAAATGTCTAGGGCTACCAGATCACTCATGACTTTTAACACGATTTATTATAGGTTATTGAGATGCATGTATGGAAATTCGCCAAAAGTCCAACTTTCCCGAAGAGAGACCCTTCTGACTGATACATCAGATTGACAGTATAAATTCATTCGATTCTGCCAATAAATACTGCAAGTTATCTGTTGAATGTCTACTCTAATAATGGATAATATGTCTACTTCTGAAGTATTTAATGTCCGTGAGGTTTCCCAACGAAATAAGATGGTTCGAACTTATGCTAAGTGGATTTCGTTTTAAAATCACTTGGAGAATTCATGAAGTTAACTGATTTAAAAGCTAGACCAACATTTCAGGAGTCTAATATTAACTTGGCAGTTACTTCAAACAGTAATTTTGATAGGTTTAGTGAAGTGAAGTATCAGCGTGTGATCCACCGATGTACATTCGGGATCTTGTGTACTACTCAGTATGCAAGATCTCTAAACAAGAGGCG